CACGGTGCTCGTTCAAACAATAAGGGGAACGGTCACAGTGCCAATCTCGTTGCACTCGATTCGCACAGTCGGCACCACTCACAACGTTCGTGGTTGGTGCACAGTGTGTCTCTTTTGGAGACGCAATGATTGTCCGGGCCGGGCTACACCCGTCCCTCCTGTTCTCCGTAGCCTTTGAACAGTACAGCTTCGTGCCTTACGGCACTCACTGTACCGCAACCCTGCAGGTGGCTTTTCGTAGTCATGATACTCCCTCCGGGGGTTATCTTCGAGTCGGTTTCTGTTGAACGACAGCTTACGCACTACGTGGGCTCAGTCGGTAGTCAAGCACTTTGTCATGTCACGCATCTTGAAGGCATCACCAACCCCAAAAAGGGTTTAAACACAGTTGATCACAGCTCACGGCTGTCGGTTTACTCGATCACATCGTTTTATTCTACCCAGACAACATTTAAAATGTGTATTCGTCATCGTCATCAACAAACACATCACTATCGAAGGCATCTTCCGGTTCCTGCTTCATCGGCACAAGACGCGCCGGAGTGGCCACCTTGGCCCCATTCTTCCGTTGTGGTTCAAAGGGAAGTTTCTGCTGGCTCCCGCCCGAAGACTCTACAGCACTGGGCTTACGCAACAGCCGCCCCTCGGCATAGACGCTGGAGAGATCCGGTTTCCGCGTCCGGGCACGTACCGTCTCAATCCACTTGAGATAGTCGTGATCATAGCAGCAATTCCCCATTGCCTTACCAAAGTGAATCAAAGCTCTCTTCAGAGCATCAGTGGCCGCCGTCTTGTGGGCCATACCCAAAGCTTCCTCAGGTGTCTTCGCACCTTTCCCGGCACCACCGGTCCCGATTCCATCATGGAACGTCTCTCTGCCCGTTTCGGGCCAATGCACGGTCACACGGACCTTGCACGTAACAAAAACCAACCACTTGGGGCCATCCTGGCGGACACCTTTGTCGGTGAGCTCGAGCACTTCCGAACTCCAGTTGTCGTGGCCAAACAGCTTGTTTGCCAAATTAATGACATCTGACCCCTTCAGATACGAAACCTCGCGGCCCACAGGACCCGCTCTCGTGGCGATGTACTCCGGTCCCAGGTACCGGTCGAGCACGGCAGCCAAGGGCGTTTCAACCCCGGTTGAATCAGTGTCGGGTGGAGACTGCAGTCGCGTCTTCACGTAGGGGGGAGGTGCGGCCACCTCCTCACAATCGTCGGCCTTTCGGCCTCGTTTCCCTGAAAAAGACATTCTGTCTAGGTGTTTGTTTCCTCAAAACAATGTTGTCAATCAAGAAAAGACTTTACCGTCTTCCCGTAGCGTGCTGTTCTCCCGGAAGCAGCAGTGGACTGTTTGTCGGGTTCGTGTGTAGCACGAATGGTTGTGTGTGTTGTGCCTCCACGCGGTGATTACCCAGGGTAATGTTGCGATGAAATGAAAGGAAAGTTCTCTCGAACATGAAAAGTGCGGACTCACGGTCCTTTATACTCTCCCAGAGTCGGGGTGGCGACACCACCCTGAGCTTACGCACCTGACAAGCTCCGGCGGGTCCCTCACGACATGTCCCGCCAACCACAACTCGTCTGCTAGACTCGTTTGTGTTATGACCACTCTTTCCGCCTCTCGCTCGCAGAGTGT